TACGCATGAATGTAAATTTAATATCTAATGTGTTAGGTATGTGAATAGCATAATTTTCTTTTTGGTTTTCAATTCCAATTTAATAATTTAAATAATTAATAATTTATTTTGATTTTATTTTATTTTTAATAGATATCCCAGAAATATTTTGGTCTGAACCACTTTTACAACCATTATACAATGCTATTAGAAGTAAAAATAAAGAAATTATATATAAAAAAAGTAACTTAATAACTTGGAACTAAAATGTTTATTATTTTAATTAGCTTACCTTGAAATCTCACAACATGTCAAAGTTCTTAATGATAAATGCAATGCCATTAATGATTTGCTTGATATGTTGCATGAAGATATTGTAATTCAAACATGATACAAATTACATGGATTATTATTTGGTTGATTGTTGTAGCTGTGTTTGTTGCAATGGTAAGTTACTACTACCAATCTTTTCAAAAACATATAACATTTAATAGTTATTATTTTAATATTTTTCTTTAATCATTTCAATAGGGAGAAATTGCTGTTAAATTGTTTCTTTGAATGGGCGATTTTTTTGTAAAATCATTTATTCTCTCAAAAATAAAATAAGGTCAAATAAAATTTTGTTATTATTTTATATATACAGCAGTAGTGTTTTTGTTGTTGGTGTTGGTGGATGGATAGATAATAATTTGATTCAAATAATTTGTTTTGTAAAAAGGAATGTGTGACTACAAATTAGTATTTTTTTATATTGTGTTTAAAGAAAATTATTATTTTTATATACATTGTCACTAACATCATCACATTACTATGTTTTTACATTTAAGATACTGTTAATTGGCATGGGTCCATCTATTGTACATGACGCAGTATGTCAGAGATAGATAAATATCATACCAGAAATGTAAAGGTCCATTTTTTTTATAATTGCCAAAGTAATTCTATAAAATTGAGTTTTCAATAAAATTTAGGATAAAATATAACTTATGATGGATTAAAGGTTTCTGGTTCATAAATTAGTTTGGAGCTCAAGAATCCGAACTGCACAACAAAAGTCTTGGATAGGGGACTTTTTTGTGATAATTACAATACAAACTATTTTGGTTGACATATAAGAACTAATTCGATTCCTTTTGTTCTTCTATCAGGGAAATACATTAGTTGTATTGTTCCATTTGGCATTATCCTATCTTTAAAGTTCAGATTCCGAGATTAGTCCTTTTTGCAATTAGGGCATCTTTTGAATAGAGAGCTTGGCTAATTTAGGTAAATTGGAAAATTCTTTACAAACTTTTAATTTTAATGAAATCATGTAATGTAAAACCAAATGCCTATATTTACACATCTTTAATTAAGGGCTATAGGGAAAGGGACAGCAAAAAAATTTGTTAGAAAGTGGTATTAAAACCAAATAATAATATTGTATCAAATGTATTAATTAAACCTATCTTTTGATGTGTTCAGGATGGATTGGAAAAGCATTATTGAATGAGGGTCATTATATAATTGTGCTAAGCATCAAAAAAAGTTTTTTAAAAAGGCTATAACAATTTTATTCTTACGCTAACCATCTTTTTCATTTTCATCATCTGCCAATTCATTATTACTTATGATATCAAAATTTTTAGTGTTTAAATCAAGAAACTTTCTTCTGTCTTTTTCAAATTGATCAATATTGCTTTTAATATTTTTTACAAAATGTTCATTTGATGAACTAAATGGTGAAACAAGCGTCCATACATCATTGGCAGGTGATGACGCGTCTATCTGTTGCTGGAAATTGGAACAAATAGTGTCATCTGATAATTTGGAAATTGACAACAATGACAATAATGATGATGATAACGACAATAACGATGACGACAATGACTATAATGATGATGACAATGAAATGATAACATAGATAAATTAGAAAAATTATATTATGTATTATATACATGATATTTGTAATAATTTCACAATAAAAATTAAATTATTATTATTGATTCATTATCCAATTATAATTAATAATGATAATTTCATTTAAACTTTCTTTTCATATATAGTTTATAATAATCAAAAATGTTTTTATACATGCTTGAATACAAAATTATAAAGAATCCTACTTTTATTTTTATTTCGTGGAATAATTAATTTGATTTTTTTTTTTGTTTTAATTGTATATAGTAATAGGATTTTGAAGGATAAAAATTAGCAGAGTTTATATTACAAACTGGAACTATTTCATTTACCATTAGCAAAAAAAAATTTTATACCACTTCTCTTTCTCGGTTTTCTTTTAACTTTCTTGAAATATCTATTAATCCTTGGATAATTGATGTTGTCAAATAGATTTTAGGTTTTCTCCTATAATTGTTATTGCATGATTTAAAGATGACATTTATGTTATTTGATTGTGATATATTATTTGATCATTTGTAAGTAAATGTTATTTTTATTTATTATTTGAGAAATTTAATTTAATTTAATATGGATTATTATTCCACAATATCCATTTTACAATCATCTTATATATACAATGATGACCACAATTAAAAACAAAGAAGATAAGCGAGAAAAGGAAAAAGAGGAAATTGCCCAAAGATAAAAAAATAATGGTAAAGATGTTGATGGCAAATCTTTAGAAAAGGAGAAATTTATAACCTGAAAAAATTTCATGATAAATGTCTATTATCACAACTAGTTGTGAATTTAATCCTGTTCATTTTCATTTCATTAATAATATATTAAATGTAATCGACACAATAATTGACATCATTGTCCCTAAACCTACAAAACAAAACAAATAAATGAAAATATTTTTTTCAGCAAATTTAATAAAAATTAATGAATCCCTAATGGAGATGTTTATTATGAACCATTGGTCGTCAATCATCATATTGTTTAAAAACGATTAAAAGTTCGTGTTTCAAAAATATAATGTCGATCAACACGTAAAAAATAATCGCAACGTTAAATAATGGAAAATACAGATGTAACAAATTTTACTCGAATGGATTTAATTCAATTTGCTAGCGATGAGTTAATTACGATTGAACCATTCTTTAATTCAAGAAAGTTCACAATTTCCGGAGTAAATAACTATCAATTTTATTAATCTATTTAATCAATACACCAATATTAGTTAATAATATTTATTATATATAATTGATTTTAGAAAGAGTTTGGACCTTTTAATCCACCTAAAAAAGCTCAAGTGCCATTATGGGCAGCCTTAATGTTGAAAGAAAAGAAAGTTTGTAAGATCATACAACCTGATTGGTTAACTGTTGGTTAGTTTAATGAATAACAGATTCTCATGTATTTCAATATGTACTCACATTGTATATTATAAATATATATTTTTATTAGAGAATCTAGACATAAGGTCAAAAGAGGAAAAGCCAGAAAGTGCTTTTGCTGATTTACCATACTGGTATAATGAAATTTCAAGTATTTTATTAAAAAAGTAAGTATTCTTTTATAATAATATACATACATACATGATCAATTAATTAATTTATTATATACAAAAGAGCTGAAGATGATTTAGAAAATCCAAATCAAATAAGATATTTACTACAAGGACTTAAAGAAAAACGTGAAATGAAAATAAGACAGGGTTTATTGGGGTTGGATCCTTCAATTCGTCAGGTAAAATTTTATATTTGCTTTTTTCTTTTCTTTAAAAGACGATAGGAGAGAGATGATACTAATATACTGTATATATTATCTATGTATCGGGAACAATTATATAGATGAAAAGTATAGGAGCAAATGAAATTCATTCAATGAGACCTATGTTTACTAAAACTTTTGATAAATTGAGAATAATCAATCAAATTAATCACAACGATAATAATGATATTAATAATGAAAGAAATGGAAGATAAAAAACGTTAAAATTTTATTTTGTTCATGGAAAAAGATTAATTAGCAGATTAATAATTAAATAAATAATTTATCATAAATATAAATGTGCATGAATAAATTATATTAAGTGCCGAGAGTATAAATTTTTAGATTATTAGCAATTCTTTTATCCAGTTTTGGTTCAGAAAGTTCATCTTTAAAAAACATTTCTTCGTCTTTTCCAAAATCCAAATCTTCATTTTTAAAATCTCTTGTTTTCCCCAATACTATTCCGACAGCCTCTTCGCCGGCAATTTCAAAATTTTTATACGAATTAAAAAAATGATAAACTCTTAAAGGAAAATTTTTCCAACCTATTCTATTATAAAAATGAATATATCCAACTGGATCAACTTTTGGAATTGAAAATTCTTCTTCATTAAATTGTATTTCTTGAGTCGATTTATTGATTTGCTTTTTTAAAGAAGTTGGATTATTATTATTATTATTATCATTATTATCATCTTCTTTTTGTTGTGGTTGATCTTTTGATGTAACCAAATTTTCTTGATTCTCCTGTTTGGTGGAATCATCAGCGGGTTGTTCCAGTGAAGAAAAACATCCTTGATTTAATCCTTCAAGAAATTCCACCCAACCAACACGACCAACAACAATAATCCCACCATCCCCAACTCTATTTAATGATGATGGATCCTTGTTGTCGGTATTTGAAGAAAGATCACGACGTTTTTGTATTATTTCTTCACATACTTTGGATTTTAATTCTCCGCGTCGTGCGCCTTCAACTACTTCATAATCTAATGCAGCAGCAACAAGAATTGGCTGACTTGTCAACAAAAAAAAAAAAATAACAAGACATTATTATAAATAATTAGATAAATAAAAAAATGTGTTAATAATAATTAAAAAGTCTTTTTATTTTATATTTTCACCTTTACATATTCCCTGAAATATTCTCTTGTTTTATACAATCCATCACCTACTGGTGGTGCCAAATATATAAATACTTTTCTAGGCAGTTCATGCACACCCAATGGTTCTAAAGCTAAGTGAGAAACTCTATCTTGAACGTTTTTTTTTGCTTCTTTTGATAAAACATTATCACGATAAATTAAACCTGAAATTCCAATGCATGTTCCAAAAAATGTCATTACTTTTTTGGATGGTAATTTAAAAGATTTTAATTTAAACGACATTTTTTTTGTTTTTTTTTGAAAATCAAATTTTATGAATTAGATAATCTAAAAAAGTTTTATCCAGCCAATCAATTTTATGTATATATTACATTAGATAAATAATGTTTTTTCTCTCCAAAAAAATGTTTAGAAAATATTTTAATTCAAAAATTTATAATTTTTTATTTATAAAAAATCATAATAAATATTTAATTCACAATAACATTTGATATTTGATTCATGTCCCATAAAAATATATCCCCTGTTTGATTTCCGATGACAAGTTGCTCTTGATCAGGTGACAGTGTAAAACGTAGAAACCAAATATCACAATTTTCAAAATCTAATTCGCAATGAATATCATAACTTGTTGAGGGCTGTAATTTTAATTAATATATAGATAGATATATATGTAATAATGTAGTATAAGTATTACTCATATTTTCTCTAATTCATAAAGTTTAAACAATCACTTACCTTACTTGGACCCCCAACAACAACACTAGTTATTGTAGACTTGTCCTCGACTGGTGACAATTTAATTTTTGGTTTCCACATTATTATAGTAGTTGTCGCAGCACATCTAGACAATATATAATCGCCATACCACCTTACACAATCAACATAATTGTTGTGTATATCAATTGATGAGAATATTGGAAAATGCACAAAAAGTGGTGTTATAATATAATCACCAGTGGTACAACACTGTCCGCTATATCTTTGTGGTTTACTGTTTTTAGATACATCGATTGCATTTTGAATAATTGGTGTGCACAAAGTCCATATTTTTATTGCATGATCCATCCCAGCAGATGCTAAGAAATTACCAGATATGTGTATATCCTAACAATTATATATATCACATGAAAATTAATTAAATACAAATTTCAATATGTATATAAAAGAGAATATAATTACAATGCTTAAAACCGGTTCACGATGTCCACACTCGCCACCAAATATCACGATTGGTTGACATGTTTTCAAATCCCATAGTCTTATTGAAAAATCTTTACTGCCTGAAAATAACAAATTTGTATCTCTTGGATGATTTTGTATTTCATTAATTTCCTTAGTGATCAAACAAAAATCCAAAGTTCAATATTTAGTGTGTATGTATGTAAAAAAATATTGATTGTGACAAACTACTTACATCTCCATGTCCAATAAGTTTCTTGTTCATGCATTTGACAGATGATGGAATTAGCTTAAAGAAATTTAAAAAAGTTTTTATGACAATATAATAATAATAATAATCATTATTATCATTACCTTTATTAAACGTCCTGTACAAACATCCAAGATTTTAATAATTCCTGTAGATCCACCAGCGGCAATCCATTGTGAATCAGTATCTTGATCATATATCCATGCACAACAATAAAAATTTTCAGGATCCTTTAAAGGAACAATATCCTGAGAAAATAATTTTTTTTTTAATCAGATGAAAGATTTATCCTTATTAAAGTGAGAAAATTGACTTTATAAAAATTACATTAACCTGCTCATATTGATATAAATTCGGTTCTGAAGATTTCCTACCATCGATAGATACGACTATAATCTAAATAGGGTATCATCATCATCATCATCATTATTATGTTTAATAAATTTAATAAAATGAATATATTAAATAATATAACAATAAATAACAAATATTCATACTGTAGAGCCACCAACTATAGCAAAATTTGAGTCACCAGAATTGTCAAATTTATTGAAACTAACACCATAAAATGGGGCTTTAATTTGATCCTTTTTACCATGGTGAAAAAAGTTCCTTTTTAAGATAAAAATAATGACAGTCGTTTGAATTAAATAAATTGACTAG